TTCCTGCGGAGGCGTGGGGAGCAGCTGGACAGCAAGGTGAGCGCCTGGAGCTAGGCTGGCGGGTCGCTGGGGCCAGGCTTCCCCAGGGCAGTGTGCCACCACGTCGTGGTCTGGCACCTGCCTGACCCCCCCCTTGCTGGGGCTGGCCCATGCTGCCCTGGCCCTTCCTGACCCTGTCTCTGCTGCAGGTGATCCAGAAGCTGGTGTTCCCCTTCAGCCGCATGAACTACCGGCCGTCCAACCATGGCGAGCTCTTCCCCAAGCTGGAGGCCATCCTGGATCAGAAGGCCATAAGCTCACCCCTGGCCACCGTCAACATCCTCATGTCCATGTTCCAGCTCAGTCACTTCCCCCAGTGTGTTCTGCACCAGGTCTTCTCCCCGGCCTTCATCGCCAATGTCATGAGTACGTTGGGCTTCTGCCTGGGTAGACCTGTTGCTGGGTCCAGAGCGGGGGGCCTGGGCTGGGAGGAGCAGGTGCAGGGCTGCAGAGGGGTCCGGCAGCGCTGGGTGATGGGGACTGTGCATGTGGAGTGTGAATAGAGGCCCTTGGCGGGGTCCATCCCTTCCCAGGGACAGGACAGGAGGGCCCCAAAGGGTGTGGGGGGCCAGGGGACACCAGGCCCGTGCTGCCCCCACAGGCAGCCCCCACGCTGTGATTGTGCGCCGCTACCTCTCCCTGCTGGATGCCACAGTGGAGCTGGAGTTCCGGGACTACAACGGCCCCCGCCTCGACCCTCGCTACCGCGTCCTCATGTTCGACCACGCCATGACTGCTGACGAGGCCAACAGGAAGTACAGGTGCGTGGGTGCAACATGGGGGCAGGCAGGGCCAACAGGAGCTGGGGTTGGGAGGGTGTGGTGGAGGAGCTGGGGCCCATGGGGGCAGCCTGGGTCCCTAGATGGACATGTGACTGTCTGCAGAGATGTGAGGCATGAGCTCCCTGCAGTGGGAGACGGACACTGCTGTGCTGTGGAGGGCAGTGGTTATCCCCGCCAGCCCCTTCCGCCCACACCCCTGCTCTGCAACAAGGCCCAGGGCTGCTGCATGTGCCCGAGGCTCCTCGCATCAGAGATGCAAGGCTGATGGGAAACGGGGCTCTGGGACCCCTAGTTCCTGTGCAGCCCTGGTACTGGACACTTGGGCCCTGGGGTCAAGGGGGCTGCCTTGCAGCCTGGCAGGGCCATGGGGCCTGGCTGCAACGGGCCATGACCCTTTTGCTCCTCTCCCTAGTTACAAGGGGCTGGTGGCGGAGGCCCTGCGGCAGCTGGTGGGAGAGGACTGCTACCGGCAGGACGAGGTGCTGCCCCCTGGATACTGCGCAGGTAGCGGGGCTGGGTCCGGCCAGGGCTGGGCCTGGCTGGAGCAGGGGTGTGCGGTGAGGTGCCAGCAGGGGTGGACTTCCCCAGTGGCCCCTTCATGGGGCAGGGGGCATGTGCGCAGTGCATGCCATCTCTGGGGGTAAGGGGAGGTGTAGCTGATCTGCTGGCCTTGTTGCCACAGCTCTTGCTTTGGCATCAGAACTGCCACGTACTGGGTCAGCCCCAGGCCTGTGGTGCTCAGCTCCTCTGTCCTGTGGAGGCTGGAGGAGAGTGACCAGGGTCTGAGCAGGGTTTTCACCTGCTCCTCTCCCATTTGCAGCCTCCAGCATTGAGGGTCCAGGCAGGCCTGATGCAGAGGCCATGCCACTCGTTCCCTGCTCAGTAATGACCAATGCCCTTTTCCTCCAAGCACGCGTCCAGTCCCTTGTGAATCTGGCAGAACTCGGCCCCTGCCATGTCTGGTGGCCACGAGCTGCACACTTCCATTCTCTGCGGTGTGAAAAGGAACTACCCGGTGTCCGTTTGATTGATTTAGTCGTGTTGTTGGTTTGACCGCCTGTTCTCTCTGCAGACTTCCTGCTGTGGGTCAACAACGTGGGTGCCGTGCTGCCTCTCTCCCGGGTCCCTGCAGCCTACAAGGCCCCCCCTGTGCGCCCCGCCGTGGCCCCCCTGCGCACCAGCGTGCTGGCCCTCACCTCGGACTTGCAGGACTTTGCCCCTTTTGCTCCGGAGACGCCAAGCAGCCCCCAGGGTCCACGGGAGAGTGACCTGGCCGGGCGGTTCTTGCCCACACTGTGCCCCGCGCCCAGGGGGCCCTGCTACCAGCCCCCTTCAGACTATTACTGCAGCCTGAGCAAGGAGTCGTCCCTGGGCAGCCAGGGCAGCTCTACGCTGAGCAGCCCCTCCGAGTGCCTAGCCACACAGGCCGGCACCCCTGACTGCTCTCCCCACGGCACCACAACTGCCACACTCTTCCAGTTCCCCATTGGCAAGATCCTGGAGGGGCCGGAGGCCGCGCCTGGCTGCTTTCGTGGGGAGCAGCCCCCTGACGAGGCAGAGGAAAGGAGTCCAGCTGCCCGTGATGAGGCCTGCGCTCCCCCATCTCCACACCTACCCAGCCCCAAGGGTGGCCTGAGCGACGTGCCGCAGGGGGCCGAGGAGATCCAGAGGTACTGGCCCTGCTCTGCCCTACCACAGCTCCCACCGTGCCTTGCTTGGCGCTGACAGATCTGCTCAGGGGCCCCGAGCGGGGGACCTCCCTGTCCTAGCCCTCAGCATTGGGATAATTGGCATGAGGTCGCACTGTCCGAGCCCTGCCCCTACCCCGGGAGGTCTCCCCTGCAGCCCCGTGGCCCTGGTCAGCCTGACGCTGCCTGCTCTGTCCCGCAGGGTCGTGCTGTCGGTCAATGACAAGTGGCATTACTGCCAGAACTCGGACATCCTGGTGGGCTCACGGGCCATGCGCGACCGGCACCTGCAGCTGCTGGGCTACTGCCTGGTCCAGGTGAGTGGGGTGTGTGCAGGGCAGGGGCTGCCCCGCACCCCTCTTCGCATAGATGGGGGTGGTATGCAGGCTGAATCGGGCAAGAAGGGCTTTTCCTGCCCCCAGACAGAGGCTTCCTAGAGACCCCATCCCACCTTCGCCCAAGGTCCTGGCGTTTCCGGCCATGGCTGCAGCGCCACATCAACATCCTCATGGCTGGCTGTCCCTGTCCTCATTTCCTGGACCTTGACTGGCCCCGGGGCCTTCACCACCTCCTGATACCAGGGGCCTGGAGCTGCCCTGTGCCCTGACTGCAGCTGGGGTGTGCCATGCTCCCCTCCATTGTCCCTTACCCCAGAGTGTAGTGACACTCGTTGCCTGGTGCCCATGTCCCATTGCAGTCATGTTAAGGCCATGACCAAACACCTCTCCCCCAAATCCGTCCCCCTGGTGCCCCCACCTTGGGCTGTTCCCTTGGGCCTAGACATTGGAGGGAGGGCCAGGGGCAGTGCTGGGCTTGCTCCAGCTGGCTAACAGGGCCAGGGATGGAGGTAAAGGCTGCCCTGGAAGGGGCAGTGTTCTCCACCTGGCGTGGGGCCCATCTCTGCTACCCCACTCCTTGACTGCTGTGGCCTCCTGGACCCCCACGTGACCTGCTCCCCCCGTTTCTAGCTGCCCTACACGGAGCTGGAGAAAGTGAGCGGCATCGAGGAGGCCAAGCAGTACCTGCGGCAGAAGTTGAGGGAGCTGCACTTCTGAGGGGTCCCTCGGCCCTGGCCCTGGGCCCCAGGGAGCGGAGACAGGGCTAGGCCAGACTTATTTATTGCTGTTGGTGGGGATGGGGCTGAGGGACAGGTGCTGCCTGGTGGCGGGGCTGGGTGCTGGACCAAGCCGTGGCAGGGGCCCGTCCACTGCCTCTGATGCTGCGGTGGGGCAGGTCCCTGAGCCTGCCACAGCAACTGGCCACGGTCACTGCTGCCCCGTGGTGCTCTGGGGGCCAAGGGCCCGCGGGAGGGGGCCTGGCCCTTTGCACAGTGGCGCCGTGGGGCTGGGCCGGCTGTGGCCATGTGTGTGTGTGGCCACCCTGCCTGAGCGCTGGACCCAGAGGACAAACTTTACAATAAAAGAGGTGAAAAATCCACCTTGTCTTTGCATTTATTAGCTGCCCTGGGAGCAGCTCCTGTGCACCCCAGGTGCCCGTGATGTGGCCCCCACCCCTCCAGGGGCTGACAGCCTCCCTCGGCCCAGCCATGTGACGCTTCTGCCTCCATCCGGGGCGGCCTGGGCTCAGGGCATTGGAAAGGGGAACGTTGCCAGTGTCCCTGAGCGCAGCCTCTTCCCCCATGAGCGGGGGGCCACGTAGTGTTGGCATGAGGGTTGCAGACAGGATGCACAAGAGAAACCAAGACAGCCAGTGTCCAGCCCTGCAGCCTGGTGGTCTCTGCCACCCAGGAGTGGCTCTGCCATGGTCCTGCGGCAAGAACAGGCAGCTGGGTTCTGGGTCAGACCCAGGCCCTCCTGTCTGTCTGGGCCGTGAGGCAGAGAAGGTGGAGAGCCATGGCTGGAGGCTTGGCCAGCGTCCGCTGCAGAGCCCCAGAAGCTGCCCCGGCCGCAGCCCCAGCTCCTTACAAAGCCATTGATTGACAGTTCAATTATTGTCTTAAATAAAATACTGCAGTCTTGGAAACACCTGATTGTCAGAGGCACCCAGGGCTGGGCTGGACGGAGCAGGCCAGGGCAGGGGGCAGCCCCTGTGCCCCCCAGCCCCAGCAGGGCCCCGCTCCCTGCCCCTGGACGGCAGCTGGGCAGCAAGGCGGGTTCTTTGGCAGGCGCCTGCGGCCAGGCAGGGGCTGTCCTCCCCGCTGGCGTGGGGAGCAAGGCACTGGGTGAGCGCGGGGTCCACAGCGGGGCCCCAGGGCCGCTCCAGGTCCTTTGGCGGTGGTGACGCGTGTCCCAGAGGAGCAGCAGGAGGGGGGTCGCGTATCTGCCTGTGCCAGGCCAGGTGCGTGGACAGAGGCTGGGCTGGCGGCTCACACAGGCATCGGCATCTCGTTGTACTCGTCAATGCCCTCCCGTTCGTCCAGCACAGGCTCGGCCTCGTTGGCGTCCAGCTGGGGAGATACAGGGGGGGCTCAGAGTGGGCGCAGAGCTTGGGGGCCTCTTCCCACCCCCAAAGCCCCCGATTCCAGAGCTGCCACTGCCTGGCACAGGGAGGGCGAGAACCTCACCCTATAGCCAGAGGCACTGGGCCTGATCACGGGACACAGGCAGGATGAGGGTCTCCCCACCACATCTCGGGGCGGGGGGGCACTTACACACTTCATCTCGTGGTCGGTGAAGATGCGTGCAAGCAGGCACATGCGCAGGGGCACAGTGAGGATGAGGATGAAGGGGAAGGCCAGCGAAGCCACAGTGGACATGACGGCCCAGAGCACAGCCAGGCACACCAGCTGCAGCCCCGTGAACAGGTGCATGCGCAGCGTCCGCACCTGCGAGAGCAGCAGAGTCCATGGGTCAGGGCTGCCGGCCGGGGTCAGGACCTCGGGGGGGGTTGCTGCTCATCCAACCTCTGCCCCAAGCAGCAGCCCCATCTGAGCCCCACCAAACAAGGCCTGGTCCTACAACGCCCCGACAGCCTTGGGTTCAGCAACACAGTCATTGCCTAGAGCAGGGGGACGGGGCAACGTCCTGAGCAGAGGAGCAGACCCTCTCGCCAGGACCCTGGGGGTCGGTGCCATCAGGAGCATTTTCACAGCCCCGTCCCCAGTCCGGGCTGTAGCCAGCACCCAGCACCTTCGGGAGAGGCTTCAAGAACCCGGACACGTGGAGCAGAAGTAGGAAAGGGGCAACCGGTACAGCCCGGGGAAGCCCCCCAGCCGAGCACAGGCATCGCTGTGCCTTGATCATCGCTGACCGCTGTCTGTCCAACCTCTCTGACACCTCCAGCGATGGTGCATCCCTCCTTCCCTGGCGTCTCCCATGGCCTCCCTGCTCTGCCCATGCAGAAGTGGTTCCTGAGGTCCAGCCTAAACCTGCTTTGCTGCCACTTACAGCTGCTGCTCGTGCCCTGCTCTCAGCAGAAGGGAACAGGATCTTTCCCTCCTTACGGCAGGCAGCCCTGCAGGTAATGCAGCCTGTTCTCACGTCGCTTCTGAGGCACCTTTCCTGCCACCGGAACAGGCCCAGCTGCTGGAGCGTCTGGCTCGACCTGCCTTCCAAGCCCTTGAGCATCTCTGTCGCTGCCTGCGGTCCCTCTCACTTCTCCACGTCCCTTTTAAAGCATGGAGCCCAGAACTGCACGCCAGATCCAGAGCATGCCTCACCAGTGCCAAGCAGAGAAGCACAGCACCTCCCGTGTCTTGTACCCAGGTCCCTCCATGGTGCTGCCCAGCAGGGCTCCCAGCCCCCCAGATCTACCCCCGCACCAGCTCTGACCCCCGCACCTTCTTGACGTAGGGGAGATCGGGGTGGTGCTTGGGGGGCATGAGCAGCAGCTGGAGGCGCTCGTAGAACTGGATGCCGTTGAGCGACGTCACCCCCATGTAGAGGAAGATCCCGAAGAGCACAGCTAGTGGGATCTTCTGCAGCAGCTCCCCAATGACGATGGACAGGCCTGGAGGCAGAGGGAGTCACCTGTGCCCTGGGCCTGCACCCCTGCTCCCGCTCCCCAAGGGCACCCTGCAGACGAGGCTGCACCCAGCATCACCCTCCCGCCCCCCAGAGCTACCCCAGGCTCAGCCAGGGTGGAACAGGGCTGGGCACAGCATGGCACAGCGTGGGCAGGACTCACCCACGAGCACGGCCACCAGCAGTCCGGTGACGCGCTGCTCCTTCACCTCCTGGATCTTGGGCTTGTCGCCGGGCGCCACGGCCTTGCTCATGACGGTGAGCGCGTTGGCGTGCGTGACCGAGCGCACCGTGGCGGCCGCCAGCCAGGGAAGCCCGAACAGCGCGAAGCAGCCACCCATGGCCACGATGAGCAGCAGGTCCAGGTGGAAGCCGGAGCCCTTCTGCAGCATGCGCTCCTTCTTGCTGATGATCAGCCTGGGGGAGCAGGGCAGGTCAGCACCACTCGCAGCCCCCCGGCGCATGGCCCAGACTCCCCAAGCCCCCCTAGTCCCCCCCGCCAGCACTCCCAACTCCCCCCAGGATAGCCAGGACCCCCCCAGCGCTCCCAGCTCCCCCCTGCACAGCCCAGACCTCTGCTCCCAGCACCTCCCCAGCTGGCCCAGCCCAGCCCCGGCTCTCACGTGGTGATCTGGGTCTCCATGAAGATGAGGATGAAGACGAGGATGGCTGGGAGGACGCTGGCCACCATCATCCAGATGGGGAAGGGGTCCTTCTCCCCCAGCGGGTTGATCACCCAGCCCCGCTTCTCGGGTGCCGTCACCGAGAAGCCGCTTGGCACCTTCAGCTTCTGCAGGGAGATGGGGGCAGCGGGGGTGAGCACTGCAGGCACAAGGAACTGGCCCTCGGGCCCCCCCCCCTTCCCCCGACCCCCTGCCCCGCGGACCTGCGTGTAGGTGGTGTCCTGGATGCTGTAGTCGACTAGCACCATGACGAGGATGGCGATGGGCACGCCAAAGTCCCCAATCACCCGCCGGATCTGCAGGGGCAGTGCGTCAGGGTCCAGCTCCCCACCCCGGCGCCCCCGGCCC